AACTCTATAACTGTGCATTAGGCAGCAGCTCAAGGTATATTCTGAAGTTGCCCCTTAGAGACTTCACAGGCTAAACCTTCCTCAGAAGGGCTTCTGGAAGAGGAATTACGTTTCTTTTAGCTGCAGGGGAGTTGAGGCTCGAGTTTCCCTCCTGTTTACCTGTTGGCACTTCCAGTGATCCTGCCCCCAACAGCCCCGTCTCTTGCTTCTCCACAGCCAGCAGTGCTCTTCCCCAGGAGCCCCTTGCTTTGCAAACTCTTGGAAATTCTACTAAACCGTGCCATTGCACCCCAGGACCCAGTTGTGCTGTATCTTAGTGGTGATGTCTAGTTGCTTATTCGGCAGTAATTCCAAGGCCTACCTTCAGAGGGAAAAGAGTCACTGCTAGCACGTTTAATCGATCACCAGGTGCTTTTGAGCACTTCCTATGTGCTGAGCACTGTGCTAGGTGCCATGGGGGACACTCAGAAGCAGGTTAAGTCCTGACTCAGGGCACATACAATCTACTTTGAGGAGACAGGAGGATAGATGTGGGTCAAAGGCCACAGCCTCAGTAAGGCTTGTTGATGAGAGATGGCAGGTGACCTGTAGCAAGCTAGATTGGAAGGACATCTCAGAGGGCCTAAGTCTTAATTGAAAGGAGGATTTTCCCAGGCAGAGATGATGGGGGTAGAGGCGAGGGAACCAAGTATAAGAGCTGCGAAGGTTAAGCCAGCCTCTCTTGGGTCTGGCTGAGCTGTTCATCTGCCAGGTGTAGAAAGGCCTGGTTGGGAAGAAAGGCTGGGACTGGGGTGTGGAATTCTAAAGGACCAGGTCGTTGGGTTTGCTTGAAATGGCATCATGGACCAAGGGCAGTGTGGGAGGTCTTAGAACCCAGGCCCTTAATTCTTCACTGAGACCCAGGGTGACAGGTCCAGCTTTTCAATGGCTGAGCAGTCCACAAAGTCTTGTGGGTAGCTGTTAGGCTGGAATACATTCAGTGGGACCTTGGTGATATGGGTGTTGTCACAGACAAGGCGTGAGAAGGACATTTTCCGTAGAGAGTCCTGCTGCCTCTTCGTGAAGACCCCAGGGTTTTCCCACCAGAACCTGCAGAGACAGAGAATGTTCATTCCATCCAGTCCTGCTGTGGCCTCGCCCCACTCTGCCACAGGGGAAGGAAGGATCATTTGCACTATGAAAAGGCCCCACTCATCCTGAGGTCTGGAATTAGTCCTCATGCAGGAGGATGTAGGACTGTGGGGACACGCACCTTGGAGAAGGGCTCCACCCTGCCCTCCCTGCTGAGGTCTCCCTTGCCTGTCTCCATCACGGATCTGCTGGAACTGCTTGCCCAGGAGGCAGGCCAGGAGAGGCCCCACCCGGCCCCTTTTCACTAGGGGCTCAGCAGTGGCCCCTATCCAGATGTCGATGTTGTCAGGGCTCCTGTAGAGATCCAGTAACTTCTTGGCCAGCCCCTTATTCTTTAGCACAGCAGTCATCTCCTCCAGTGTCTGAGGCCGTGAGAGGCCGCAAAAGCGTCTCCAAGAGTTGTAGCCTAGGATAGAGAGGGTGAGGCTGTCTCATGCCAGGGACTTCCTGCTCATAGCCCTCCGTTGGGGACATACCCATTCTATCTCTGTCAGCCCTAAGAAGCCTGGGCTCACAGCCTTTGGGGCAGAGAGGCAGTGATCTGTTATTTTTTATCTGTGGCACGGTAGTCCTCAGGATGCTTGTAGGTTATCCGAAGCATATTATCAATATGTAAATTGAAGAACAGAAATGTTAAGTAATTTGCCCAAAGTCCCTTAACTAATAAACAATGCAACTGGGATTTAAACTCAAGTAATCTAGCTTGTAATTACCACAGGGTATCCCAAAAGTCAGATAAATATTCTACAAAATTTCATAATGAATATTTTGTGAATAAAGGTACATTTAGCTGCAATTTCCCATTTTTCTATATATGGCAACTTTCGGGACATACTATATATTACATTTGCCATTCATAGGTACAAAAGAAAGGTCTCATAGTCATCTATGTCTCTATGTTCTTTTCTTAATCTTGCTTGAGCTTTTAAACTGCTTTTACATGTTAGTTGTCAATCTCTTTTTCATCTCAGGAATTCTAAGATAATACTAGATCTGTGCTCTTGTCTCTGCATTAGGGAAAATGGAAGATTCCACTCTGTAGAGGAACAACATGTGTTTTAAAAACCGGCCTTCCTTCTATTTCAGAATTGAACAGATTCCCAGGGTTACAGAAAAGAGTCACTAAGAGTCCTAGAAAGTAGCTATAAGTTCCCCCGCCCAGGCCAAGACCCCAGGCCTGCTCACCAGGCTGCCCATGGTCCCGGCCACGCTGTATATTGATGGCAGCCAGGTCAAAGCCATGGATCTTATGAGTTGGCTGGAAAAGCTTGTTGCGCAGCTCTCCCGTCATCATTTTATTCTGTTTCACCAACTTGGCCTTTTTGGCCAGCAGGCCCCGCACCAGAGGATCAAGTCCACCTGTCAAGAGAGACCCAGAAGCTATCCTTGGGATGGAGTAGGGTGGGGACATCTTCTAGGCTGGCCCCCGCCTCCACCAGACATTTTCTCTTGGTTGAAAGTTGGGCCACCTGAACATCTTGGGTTGGAATTAGGGAGAGAAAATCACAACAGAGCCTTCAGGGTGTGCTCAGGGGCAGAGGAGAGCCCAGGCTGCCTGCTTTAAGGGTGGCAGAAAGGGTGGGATAGTGATGTGAATATAAATGTCAAGATTTTTTTCAAGCTCTAGTTCATGGAGTCAGCTCCTTCTCTTTCCCTATATTCTGCTGAGCAACATTGCAGAATGGAAAGCGGTGGCATAAGTCTTTAGGAAGTAGCCTTGACTCATTAGGCCTTACATAAAGCCAGTTTTAGCACAGTTGAGGGATAAAGAAAAGCTGGGTCCCACCTCTGGCACCTCATAGAGGTGGAAGACTTTAGAGGAGAGTAGAAAAGAGCAATTTATTTACCAAACCTATGAATTCTTTCTTTAGAGGTTAGAGAAGCAAGCGTAGGGCAGGGAAAAGAGATGGGGAAATCCCAGGTAGCTTAGAAGGGAAAAAATAATACTAGCTAGTATTTATTGATCACCTCCTTTGTGTCAGGAACCATTACAGGGTGCTCTACACATGTACAGGCAATCCCTTAGTTACAAACATCTGACTTATATATAACTCACACTTACAAACAGAGGATATTACAGTAAGTCTCTGAGTTATAAACATCCAACTGACATAGGAATTGCACTTACAAACAGAGGCTATTACAGGTAATAGATAAATGTACCTATTCCAAATTATATGTAAATTCAACTTAAGAACAAACCTACAGAACCTATCTCATTCACAACCTGGGGACTGCCTGTATCTCATTTAATTTTTTTGGATATTTGCATGAGATGCAAATTATTATTGTCTCAATTTTACAAATGAAGAAACAGGCTCAGTGAGGTCAATTTATCTGCTGACGGTCACGCAGAAGTGCTTAGAATCTGACTTGCTAGCCTTCCCTATGAGCAGTTTGCAGAGAGGCAAAGCCAGGTAGGTGATAGCACTTTCCTGAAAGAACATACCATCTTTGACTATCCTCCAGGTGTTGAAGAAGAGGGTGTGCAGAGCAAGTTCTGGTTCTGGACCCCATGGCTGATAATTCTCATCTAGACGGGACACAGTAGAGGGGACTTCCAAATGGCCAAAGCGGAAAGCGAAGGTGAAAACGTTGGAAAGTCGGGGATCCACAGATTCATTGTAGCTTTGGTATGGAGGGATCCACTTCTGCATCTCGTCACCTAACACAATGGGTAGGTAATCCCTGA